TTCCAGGCAGAAGTTGAAGCCACCAGCCAGAGGAAAAAGTACCACTTCCAGAGAAATAAGCTCAAAAAGGGTCTGTTTAAATTTTAAAAGAGGTGGGCATTGGGGTGCAATGGGTTAAGTTGCCACTTGGGATGCCCACATCCCATATCTGGGTGCTGGTTTGAGCACTGGCTACTCCAGTTCAGATTCAGTTCCCCAATAATATGCTTTTGAAGCAGTAGATGATGGATCAAGCACTTGAATTCCTGCTACCCATAGGGAGACACCGATGGAGTTCTTAACTCCTGGCTTCAGGCAGGCTGGTCCAGACTCCATTATTGCAGGCATTTGGGGAGTGAACCAGTAGATAGACAATCTCTCTCTGCCTGTCAGTCACTCTGGCTTTCAAATAAATAAATAAAGCACAGTTAAATATAAGTAGGCTAGGATTCAGTGGGGCACAGCACGTAGCTCAACTCCACATGCAGAAATGAAGAGTAATGATAATATAATTGCATACGGAAATATGAAAAACAGTATTAATGTATTTTTGATAATATATTTTTCCGCTATCTGATTTAAAAGACAACTGCATAAAACAATAGGGCCTGGCGCCGTGGCTTACTTGGTTAATCCTCTGCCTGGGGCTCCGGCATCCTATATGGGCACCGGGTTCTAGTCCCGGTTGTTTCTCTTCCAGTCCAGCTCTCTGCTGTGGCCCAGGAAGGCAGTGGAGGATGGCCCACGTGCTTGGGCACCTGCACCCACATGGGAGAGGAGGAAGCACCTGGCTCCTGGCTTTGGATCAGCACAGCGCCAGCTGTAGTGGCCATTTGGGGGGTGAACCAACAGAAGGAAGACCTTTCTCTCTGTCTCTCTCTCTCTGTCTGAAACTCTACCTGTGAAATAAATAAATTAAAAAAATCTTTAAAAAAAGTAACAACAAAAATATATCAATGGACTTATAATGTATACATATGTAATGTATATGGTGACAATAGTACAAGGGAGGGAGAGATAATAGAGTGATATTGTAGCAGAAATTTTGTTTACAATTGAAGTTTGTATCACTCTAAGCTAGATTGAATTAATATGCAAATTATAAGCCCTAATCACTAAAAATAGACTAAAAATGTAGTAAAGGGAAACAAGGGAATTAAAATAGTACCCTAGAAAATATTTCTTCAAAACCAAAGAAGGTAGTAAATTAAGACCTGTAAAAAAGTAGTAAAATAGTAATTCTATTTTATCAGTAACTACACTAAATGTGAATGCACTAAAAACTTCAATGAGAAAGCAGACATTGCCATAATGGATTAAAAACTATGTTGAACTATATGTGGTACATTAGTTATACTAAGATTCAAAGACAAAAAGGTTGAAAGTAAAATAATAAGAAAATATATATCATGCAAACTGTAACTAGCAGTGACAGTATGAAAATCACACAAAATTAACTGTCCACCTGGATGACAATAGCACCTGTAGAATCTATCTGAAATAACTATTTTGCTATTTATTAACTATATAAAGTCTATTGAAGGCCTGCAACTTTCATTAGGAAGATTTGGGTGGAAATAATGATTAATATCAGTCAATTCCAACTCTTAGCACAGTGCCTACTCTCAGCCTCTTGGCAGGCAGAGTGTCTATCTTTCTGGAGCAACCTGCACACAGCAGTGGGAACCAGAGTGGGTAAAAAGAGCCCTGACCGCCTTTCAGAATAAGAGAGAAACAGATATTCTGTCTGTAGGTTCACTCTCCAAATGGCTGCAACAACAGGGGCTGGACCAGGAACTCCTTCTAGGTATCCCATGTAGGTGGCAAGAAATCAAGTACTTGAGCATTAATTCATTACTTCCCAGGCATATCAGCAGGAAGGCAGATTAGAAGTGGGGTAGCTGGAACTCAAACCAGCACTCAGATATGGCATGCAGGAATTCCAAGCAGCAGATTAACCTGCTGAGGTACATTTGCTTTTTCTGATCACAAAATTACAGATGAAAAAACATTAACCATTATTATTGCACCCTTATTGTTGCAAGCTCCTCCCCCTGAAGTGAACTGACTTCCAGGAAACTTAAAGGGCCAGTGCCCCTTTTCCCCCTTAATTTTTCTCTTTTTTCCCTCTCTGGGAACTCAACATTAAAAACTTGGTCACTTTATAGCAAGGCTATGTATTGGGGAAATTAGAAAATCACTAGGCAGGCTATTAAGGCATATAGAAAAGAAAAGCTATTGCACATATGATGGAATGAAGTACCTCTTCGTATATAGCACATATCATGGAAATAAGTACCTCTTTGTATATAATTACTGTAATGTAAATATACTGAAGTCTTCAATCAAAAATTATATTAGCAGAATTGATTAAAAAGTTATTCAACTATACATTATCTACAATGTACTCATTTTTAGATGTAAAGGTACAAATAGATTGGAAGTGAAAATATAGAAAAAGATGTTTACTGTAAATAGTAACCAGAACTGATAAGGAATGGCTGTACTAACATCAGACAAAACAGATGTTACATCAGAAAAGATTAGAAACAAAGGACATTATGTGTGTATTAATAAAAATTAATATAGCAATAATATAAAAATAAACATTTATGAACTTAGTGATTTGCACCAAAATATATTAAGCAGAAATTTCCAGACTGAAGGGGAAAATAGTTCTGCATTAATAGTTAGGGATTCCAATATCTTGCTCTCAATAATGGATAGAACAACCAGACAGAAGATAAGTAAAGATTTAGAAGACTTAAACAACACAACAATCCACCTAGTTCTATTAAACATATGCAAAACATCCCCTCTAATTACAACGGTATACAAATTTTTATAAAGTGCAAGCGGGAAATTTTCCAGGATAGACCTATTATTTGGGCACAATCTATTTTTAAAAAAGATTTATTTATTTGAAGGGCAGAAAGAGAGAGAGAGAGAAACTGTATCCTCTTGTTCACACACAAAATAGCTACAAGTGCTGGAGGTTGGCCAGGCTGAAGCCAGGCATCTGGAACTCCGTCTGTGTTTCCCACATGGGTGACAAGGGTTTAGGGTTTAAGCAATTGTCTGTTGCTTTCCCAGGCACATTAGCAGGAATCTGGATTGGAAGTGGAGCAGCCTGGACTCAAACCTGTACTTTGATTTGGAATGTTGGCATTACAGCAGTGGCTTAACCCACTGTGCCACAATATCTGCACCATATAATCTATTTGTTGATAAGAATACTAAGACTTTAGGACATTAAGTGAGCTGCCCAAGACCAGTTTGCATCACCCAAGATGGGTGTCTTGACTTTACAAACTGTAACACAACCTTGGTTATGCTGTTTGTGATTAAACTGATGTTACTCTGAAGAACACACAGGTATCATAATATGAATTAATTCTTAGAAAATGCATGATTCTTTTTTTTTTAAATTTTTTGACAGGCAGAGTGGACAGTGAGAGAGAGAGACAGAGAGAAAGGTCTTCCTTTTGCCGTTGGTTCACCCTCCAATGGACGCCGCGGCCAGTGTGCTGCGGCTGGCGCACCGCGCTGATCCGATGGCAGGAGCCAGGAGCCAGGTGCTTTTCCTGGTCTCCCATGGGGTGCAGGGCCCAAGCACCTGGGCCATCCTCCACTGCACTCCCTGACCACAGCAGAGAGCTGGCCTGGAAGAGGGGCAACCGGGACAGAATCCAGCGCCCCAACCGGGACTAGAACCCAGTATGCCGGCGCCACAAGGCGGAGGATTAGCCTAGTGAGCCACGGCGCCGGCCCATGATTCATTTTTATTACCTTTTCCATTAAGGAAAATTGTGCATTTTACACATGAGTTCAAATAAGAGTTGATTCAGCTAGTTCTTCTACTGTAAAAGAAGAAAGTGTGAAATTTACATATATTTGTAACTTCCCAAAGCATTTTAATTTGTGTCAGCATGTTACTTGTTTTAATAAAAGTACATATGTATATATATATATATATATATATAGTTTCAAACCAATAGGTGCTTAGTCTTAATTGAAAGTATTATAAGTAGGATTCAGTTTAATTATTTTTAATACTATTTACTGCAAATTTCAAGGGAGATACTTTGACAATTTTATATATAGGACTTTTTAAAAAGACATTGATTTGTGATTGCTTATTTGAAAGGCAGAGTGACACAGGGAGTGACGAGAGAGAGACAGAGAAAGAGAGAGAGTCTCCTATTAGCTGATTCATTCCCCAAGTGCCATAGCCAGGGCTGGGCCAGGCTGAAGCCAAGAGTCAGGAACTCCATCTGGATCTCCCATGTGCATGACAGGAAACTCAAGTACTTGAACTATCCTGCACTGCCTTCCCAGGCACATTAGCAGGAAGCTGGGTCAGAAGCTGTGTTATTGCAACTTAAACCCACACTCCAATATGGGATTCAGGTATCAAAAGTGACAATTTAACTTGCTGCACCACAGTATCTGCTGGAATAGATATGTTTTAAGTATGTTTTCTTGGGAAAGCGATATTTAATTTAAATGTTATAACACTTAATCACAATATTTTATATTCAACAGGTAATACATATTCAATGAACTTGAAAAGTTGCTATAAAAAAAGAGAATCCAGATGAAAAATTATTGCCTTTTAAACTGACTTGATGTCTATTTGTTTCTCATTCTTAGTTAATATTTGCTGATGTGTTAATTCCTTCCCCAAACCTTTGCTGAACACCTGGCACATCAGGCCTGTTTGTTGGCTGCTGCTTCCCTGTAGAGTTCTTCGCCAGCCTCTTCCACCAGGTGTGTGTTCCCCCTCCTCTCAGGTCATTCAAGGGCGTACGCAAGAGACTGAGCCTGACAAAGAGTGAGACTTCTTATGCTCCTCTTTCAGACAGAAATCACCAGCTCAGAGACAAACAGGAACCTGTCAGAAAATCCAGATACATGAAATGGACTGGGTGAAGAGACAATAGGCAGAGGGAGGTTCTAGAAGCTATGGACAGTTGCATCACAGATCTCTATTATTGCAGAAAAATGGGGCCAAACTTGCAAGAACATTCAAGGAAGATGGAAAACTGTTTTCTTTTACATTTTCAGTGTCATAATCTAGATGTGCTTGTTGGGGTCTTAAGCCTGAGGCTGGCCCCTAACCAGCAGGGGACAGTACAAGCACTCCCTGACAAGGCGAATGGGAGAGGTCAGGTCGACGGGGCAAGCACACCACAGCAAGCACCGGTGAGTTCTGTCGAAGCAGGAACTACTGTATTGAGGAAGTGCACAGGCTTATAAGGCTTACAAAAGACATGCTCAGTAGGGGAGCCAATCAGCGAAAAGGGCATGCAGGCGTGGGTGGACCATGCACAGGGGCGTCTTAAGCAAAGTATAGGGATCACGCACTGTCCACGTGTCCGAAACCAAAGCAGACCTATCCCTGCCGGTGGTCTGATCTTACGTAGCTTAACCGCAGCAGCCGCAGACACACCCCTCGAACATCCACCAGGCACCATATTGTAATGGAGGTTTTAGGCAGTGCCCAACAATGCTTATGTCCAGATTAACCTGCCTGTGTGTGTGTGTGCATAAGGGGGAATTACAAATCAGCAAAAACCAAGAATTTGCATGTGAGCCTCTATATAGTGTTGGCTGAATAGAACCTGTTTGTTGACTGAATTTGGCCTGCAGACAGCACCATGCCCTTTACAATATGTTCTCTGAGTTGCATGTCCTTGTCTGGCATTCCATCTCTTCCCCAGGGGGTTGAAGCTGTGAATGCTTCTGCCATGCAAAACAGGGGCTGCAACTGCTACTCAGAGTCCTGATCTCACTCCATGACCATTTCCCTGAATATAAGAGCATCAAAATCTGCATAAGAGAGTTTACAAATTTCTGCTTTAAAACTCTAAAGTGTTTCAATTTATAGTATCTTCACGGGCATGTATTAAAGTTGGTTTGCATCACTCAATATTGCAAGCTTTAGTTTCAGTTGTTTGCACTGTTTTGACTTTGTGCTTGAAACCTAGAACACTCAAACCAAATTTTTATGAAAAATAAGTGGTTTTGGAATGCATTTACTTTTCCAGGCCTGTGGTCCAGTTCCTGGTTCTTACCTGTTCCAGAAAAACACAGCTTCATGGTTTCTTTGGAATAAAACTCAGGAACATCAGTTTTCAGTTCTAGGAAGGTTGCAGTTGGCCCTTTATGCTCTAATGAACTCTCTGACCCCACTTATATTACTTAAGGACTGAAGTCACAGGCAAATGATGGATTTCCTTATTGTGCCTTTTATAAGTAAAAGCACTTCAAAAATTTAATGGAAAACTGAAGTGAACAGGTGAGATTGTTTGAGTGCAAAATGTGTTGAAGTCATGTAAGGTTTTTCATAATACATATCTTCATGTTTTTTTGTATAAATGAAACTGTTGAGATAGAATAAGAATTTGAACATCAAGTTCCTCCTTTTCCATTCCAATTTGGATGTCATGTTGGAAGCCAGGAAATAACCGTTTAAGAATTGGAGTGATAGGAGCCGGCGCTGTGGCACACTGAGTTAAAGCCCTCACACGCAGCACTGGCATCCCATATGGGTACTGGTTCAAGTCCTGGCTGCTGTAGTGTCTCTCACCATGTAGCCAAAACCACCCAAATTTGTGGGGTCTCCCACCGAGACTACTCACATCTCAGCCACACTTTGAGTTCTCCCACACATTTGTTTTTCACAGTCCTGGTTCATAAGCTCCACACATTCACTAGGTCTTAGTTTCCTGTTATTTCTTCCCACCAGAGTCAGGTTTTTCTTCTTGGCTGAGGGCGGACGCAGCCCTGAGCTGGTGCAGCTGTTACGTATGTCCAAAATGGCACATGCTCTATTGCCTCACTTGCCTTTGTAAGGTGAGTGGAGAGAAAGAATAGTGTCCATACTGTTCCCTTTTATTTTTTTTTTCTCTCCTCTAGTTAGGCTGTGTACTTTCCCCCATGGGGCCTGAAGCCTCGTTCCCTCTAGGCTCTTCCTATCACTTTTCTACCAGTGTATCGGGTTACTGCCATTTCGGCAACTGGGGTCCTGAGCCATGGGCTCCTGAGCTGTGGGCTCCCATGCCCACCACGTAGTTCTACCATGTCCCCCTAATTCTGGAAGAGTTTCCTCTGCAGTTTTTTTTTTCCTAACTCTTCCCTGAGACTACAGTATCTCCACTTTTATTAAACTATTTTTTCCTGGACTATCAGTGAGCTCCCTCCCTATTCTGCCATCTTGAACCCAATCCCCTCAATAAATAATCTTTAAAAATATTCAGCCTGTCATCAGTTCACACAAACCATGGTCCACTATTGTATGTTTATTTCAAATCTAGAATTCATAAAGTGCTGTGGGGGTATACCGACTGGGATAACTGGCCCTAAGAATTTTGAAAACCTAAATAACAGAGAACAGAAACCTTATTATTTCACAACTGCAAGTGGTTTTTTTCCTCTTAGGGCAAAATATAATGCTCCTTTGTTCTCAAGGAATTGTTTAAGTGGACTTTTTTTTATTAAAAATAAAGCTGGCATTCACCTATTTTTCTTGTGAATAGAATGTTGTTAACCCAAATCTGATTTTTTTTTACACTGAGAATTTAAACGTTCTCTTGGTAATAAAATTTGTTCTGTATTGCTGGAGAAGATTATCGTTTTGAGATGTTCTTCACGTTTATGTTATGGGAAGAGATGAAAATTTTTTTTTGATCCTGAATTAATTTAGGATGTCTGGCATCACAAAGTGTTGCTTTGTTCTTAGGGGAGTTGTGAGCATTCTTATTCAAGAGGTTAAGACAAGAGATGAGTAATCAAGGCAGTTAGATGCTCACAGTAAAACATGGACTCATTACTAGGTGCACTTGGCATGAGGAACTGTGGAATTCAAGAACCAGCCTGGGTGGGCAGTGTTTAATGTCCAGTGTTATATACGTGTGACTGATGTAGAAAGTATTGATGTTGGATAAATTACCCAGAAGGAAAGGCTGTGCTCCTGTAAATGGGCAGGATATTTTCTCTGAAGTTGGTAAATGTTCCCTCATCAGTTATCTAAGAAAGATATACAACCTGACACAAGATTTAAGGGCCTGAGCAACAATACTCCAATAGAAAAAGTGTTGTGATTTGGCTTCTGTGTACATTCACTGAGTTGAATCAGGGTTTCTTGGAAAAGTATGCTTCCTGGACTGTGATAAACAAAGCACGGGATGGGACTGGGCATTTTGTTTTGCTAGATAATGAGACTTGCTCAAAGAATGATGGAGGCATGTTCAAGGACAGAGAAACCAGATTCAGGGGAATTTTGAGTGGCCAAATATCACCAATTAGGGCATCAAAATGAATAATGATTGTACAGTAAGTACAGTTAGCACCCATTGAATAAAACCAGAAGTCATGAATTTCTACTGATAAGTAAGTACACACATTAAACATTTGATTATGAATGGGAAATTCACATCTCAAAATTCCTCCTCATAAAACACTGACAAAGGGGCAGAGTAACTTCTCAGTGGCTAAGCCAGGCAGACATCACCTTAATCATGAGACTGAAGTTAATATCACCAGGGATGGGAAAGATTGAAATCATGTTCCATCTGGCAGTGGGACTGAGAAGACACATCATCATTTCTGTGATACTCCTGCCCTAGATGCATTGCCTGATTCCAATAGCGAGGAAATAGCAGACAAACTCAAACTGAAATAACTAGTCTGTAATCTTCAACAGTGTCCTGTCATTGAAAGCCAGTGAAAGACAAAGTGTTTCAGATTAAAGGAGACTAAAGAGAAATTACAACTAAATGCATGGGATCCTGGACTGGATGTCTTTTGATTTAGATGACATTACTGGAACATTTGTTAAGACTTGAATGGAGTTTGAAGATTGGATGGGTGTGCTTTATCAATGTTAGTCTCCTGATTTTGAAGGTTGCTTTCTTATATATGAAAATGCCCTTAGTTTAGGATGTGATAGGAATTGATGCTGGCAACTTATTAAGTGCTAGAGGTAGGGTGTGACTTTTTGTAAATCTGAGATTGTTCTGGATGAAAGTAAATTAAAAAATAAATCAAGCAATAAAATATTTCATTTTATCCTCAATGGCCTGTGTGGATTAGATATTTGTGTTAGCAAACAGTCATTTATACACATTGCCTCTAGTTCTTTATCTCTCATTAATGAAATACTTTTTCTCTTTTTTCTTTTGTCCACTCCATTTTAACTGCTCACCAATGATTCCACTAAAATCCTGATAGACCAACCTTGTGCTGCCTAGTGTCTCTGTGATGTTAGAAGCTTAATTTACTTGTGCTTCAGTTTCTTAAAATCTCCTAGATTACATTAATCTACTAGATACATTGTCATCTTGGTAACATAATACAGTTATGGTAAGAATATTGTTGTATATCGGAAGGAAGTTAAATCTGTGTATCAAAGAGATACCTGCCCTCTTACATTCAGTGTAGCACTATTCACAATAGCCATGATATGGAATCCACCTAAGTATCCATCAGTGAATAAATAGATAAAAAATATATATATCTACACAATGGAACATTACTCAGTCACAAAAGATGACATTCTGTCATTCATAACAGCATGTTTGGAACTGGAAGTCATTATGTTGAGTAAAATAACCAGACACAGAATGACAAATACTGCATGGTCTCTCTCACATATGGAAATTAAAAAAAATTAAGTCATTCTGAAGTTGGAGTTGTGATTATTATTAGAGTCTAGGAAGGGTGGGAGGATGAGGTTTGGAAGGAGATTGGATAACAGGTACCCAAGCATAGTGAGCTAGAAGTAATACGTTCTAGTGCTCCACAGCAAAGTGGGGTATTAGTTTACAATAATATATTATACACGGCATGAAGAACTGGAAGAGAAGAGCTGGTAGGTTCAAAACACACATATTAGGACATGGAGGTGCAATTATCTGACTTGATCATTTAATGCTATACACATGTGCTGAAATATTACTGTACCCCATAAAAATCTGTGAGTGAATATACTATTACACAAAAATCTAGCTATTCATTTTGAACACTAATTCCATCCCAACATTCTTGCCTGTTATCCAGACCCATGCATTCAAGTGCCTGCTATTGACCATCCCCACTTGGGTATCTCACAGATATCCAGAACATCAGATTCCAAAGACTGGGGCCTACGGTCCAAGACTTGATCTAGTCTCTATGTTTCCTATCCTAACAGATGCCTGAGT